TGTTTTAATATTTTTTAAATCATATTTGATTTAAATAAAACTAAACCAAAAAATTCCTATGTATATTTACATGTGTGTGTGTTGAGAATAGAACCTCTGTATCTTTTTTGTTGAATGCTGTGGGTCAATAGTATGCTTTGTCAGAAATATAATACTGACCATTCAGAGTGCATTTAAAAATTATTGGAAAAAGACATATTATATTCAGTTTTTACTATAAAAACCTTTCAAAATCAAGAGATTTTTTTTAAAGCGTCATTTTAAGTTATGTTTTTCATACTATTTATTTAATAATACTTCAAGTGCAAACCACTTTCTGTGAAAATTTCACAAAAAAATTGACAATGTTTGGCAATTATCCGGCATTCAATTATTTGACATTGTTCAACTGCAGTTTTATTTTTAAAAACTATGATAGGATAAATGCATTTTGAATTTGATATTGATGTTTTTGACGAAAAATTTAAACAGGATGTAAAGTGTGAATCAAATTTAAACAGGGTGTAAAGTGTGAATCAAATTTAAACAGGGTGTAAAGTGTGAATCAAATTTAAACAGGGTGTAAAGTGTGAATCAAATTTAAACAGGATGTACAACAACTAGATAAATAATAAGAATAATGATAATAATAAAAACTCACCTAATAAGCTCAAAGTGCAAAAAGAATGTTTCCCTAGTTCAAATAATGGTAGAGGGGTGCTTTGAGGTGAGGGTGTCCCAACTTTTGAGACTTTTTTGCTTTTGGACAAGGATCAACGAAGGACGGATGAATGAACGGACGGACGGACGGATAAACTGGCGAATTGGAGGTTACCACCACTGGCCACGTGGCGCAGACGAAACCCCGTTCACACAGGAGCTGGTGAATGGTGGAGTTGCTAATAATATGGATTTTTTTTTTTTTTTTTTTTTTTGTGTGCACGAAAAACGACACCCAAAATTTATATTTATATATTGGTTTACTCATTTTTCGGGGTATGATTTTATTGAATTTTCTCAGCATTAGAGTCTATGTGACATTAATATTGTGTGGTTCATTTTCATTTTTAATGGCTGACACAAAGACCAGAATTACAAAATGTAGAATAATTGATTAAAAAAAATTGTCATCATTACTATTACAAACACTTGCTTCAAATTAAAAATAATTAAAAATAATTTTTTTGCAATGAATACGAGATGGCACATAACAAGAATGGTTATATATATACACACATACACATTTATATGAATGTATATTTAAAAGCACATGCAACACTTGCATCAACAATTATTTTATTGTAGACATTTAAGGGACAAACATAGATGAAAACAACCATATCTAGTTCTCAAAAGTAGATTTCTACTTGTTCGAAGCAACAAGCAATCATTCGAACATTATTAGATCCTACTAGCTATTCTACACACAAGTATTAATATATTACCTATTTTGTACCTAAAAAGGAAATAGTGTAGTGAAAAACAGTATGGGTTCCAATTAAGGAATGGAGGTAACTTAGGGCTGGTTCAAAATCCACCTTCAACTTTCGCTCTAAATTCACTTCCAGGACAAAGCTGATGTTTGCAAGTGCCAAAGATATTGTTTACTGCAACAGTATCCATATCCAATACTTCTAACTATCAGGAGAGGTCAGAAACAGCTTCCTAATGGCATTGTACTTGTTATTCCTTAGAGGTAAAGCTATTAAACCATACATTCCTTTTCATATTGTGAACTATATTATTATTATTATTATTATTAGGATTTTGTATTACCATCAGTAATAGTGTGGGACCTTTGTTCAAGTCTTCAATCAACACATTAATAAAATTTCACTATGCATCTCTTCTTGTAAGTATTCAATTGTGGACATATTAGACTCGCTAAGAGAGTACTTGGACTTGTCCATTAATTAGTCCTAAGTGGGTTGGATGGTGGTGTGGCTGCACATCACAATCAAAAATGACAATAGTGATTGCAAAATGTATACATGGTGTTGGGTGTAATCAGAAAGGTTGCCCTTGTCTTCTGGTTACCAACTCTTATCATTTTTTTTACAACTTTCTTCTCAACCAAACAAACGTAAGAGTTGATTTCTCATACATTTTATTCATATATATATATATATATATATATATTCATACTCCATAATTTGTAAATATAATTACAAAGTATGGATCCTAATTGTCAGGATCTGTATTAATTCTAAGGTTTATCCAGCAACATATCTTTTACCACTGCAGGGTATATTTTCACTTGCTTGTAAAACAATACAATTGTCTTAAAACTTTTAAGAGAATTAAAAAGAAAAAGTAACAGAACTTCAAAATAATGTTTCCAAAACCAAAAAAAAAAAAAAAAAAAGCCACGTCATCCTCCACGCCACGTCACCACGACAGACAAAATCATGCAACCCGTCCAGAAACAGGAAAAAGCACCCAATTAATGACAAGGGACTGGACCGGACACGACAGACGGACAACACCTAACAGCAAGTCGGAATCGGAAAGAAAAAATACGACAAGGCAGAAAGAAAAAAGTAGAAGAAGACGAGATGGAGAGAGATAGAGGAAACGAAAAAGAAAAAGAAACGGAGGGGGGACGCAGTGAGTGCATGCAGAGATCGGAAGCAAATCTGCGGCGCCGAAGAGTTGAATGGCAACATGGCATACCGCACTCACTCACTTAATCGCTCGCTCTCTTCTCTTCTAATCTCTTCTCTGTCGTGTTGCATCGAATTGCATTACATGGAGATCCAAGCTAGCGGAGATCCGACCACAACACGCGCAGGGCGTGACAGCAGCAGTAACAGCAGCAGTTGCCGGAAAGCTGACCACAGCAGCGTCGCGTACTCGCTGCTGCTACTGCTACTGCTACTGCTGCGATGGAGTATCCGAATCCACGCTCGTAGATCCACCGACGACGCTCTGGACCCGAACCAAGCGCTCGCAAAGCGGCTCATATCCCTCCAGGGACACGACGCCACCGGCCTGCAGGTCACCCTCGCAGTCCACATGAGGAATGACACAGCAGGTGCAACTCAATGGTGTTTCGCGGAGCCTGTATCGGGAACGACAAGGGGAAGATGCCGACGCAGAGCCTAAGTGTTATATGGCGACGTACAGTCGAACATGATGGGATTAGTGCAAGGACTCTGGCGCTCTGCTTGCCGTGCAGCTGCATTGAGGGACTGCCCTCGCGGCTAACAGAGTTGCACGACGCGCCAGATCACAGCCTGCAGGCATTGAAGCGGGCCGCTGCCCGCTTGCGGCGTGCGAAGCCAGCAGCATGTGCTGCAGATTCAACCGCTTCAGGCCTCTGCGACCCAGGCTGAGGATCAGAGCTCTCGCTACGCGATGAGAACGATGGATCCAGCAAGCAGCAGCAGCAACAAGACCCGCGCGGCCTTGGGGTCGGGCCCTGGCATGGCTTGGCATGGCGCAGGGTTGACGAGATGCGAGTGATGACAATAATAATAATAAGAATAAAAATTATAGTAAGTTGATTGCCATGACTCATTCTTGCGTCTGCTCCACTTCCTCTTCCCCTCTTCCCACCCTCATTCTCGTCCTCCTCCTCCTCCATGTTGTGTGAATTATGTCCTCTGTCCTTTACGTGTTGTCCACGTGTACCTCCCTGATCTTCACACTATGACGCCCTCGCCCCCAGCTGACTCGATTCTGTTGAGCTCTCATCGCCGTTTGTTTGGTTTTATCTTTGTTTCATCTTTTAAGAGTCTCTCTCTCTCTCTCTTCAGTGGTTAAGCTTCTCTTACCTTGTCTTATCTGATTTCCTCGAGACTTTGCAAATCCAAAATTGTTTTCTTCATTGAAAGAAAGGAAATAAGCGGAATAAATGAATGCAAGTGCCTGAACTGCATGAAACCCAGTTACTGGAAATCCCGGGTTTTGTGACCATCTGAATTTATTCGATTTGCATCCCAGTTAATCAAGAATTGGAAATAAGAGTGTGATTCTGCATTTTGTCTTTAGCTAGACTCATTTCCAAAATGCTGTGCATGTGTGTAATTTTATTTTATTTTATTTTGTTTTGTTCAAAAGCAGCAATTTTGCTTTTGGATCATAATGGCTTTTCAGCTTGTTTACAGTTTGTTGTGCATCTACTTCACATGCAAGCCTTGTGTTGGTTGAATAAATTTATGCAAAAAAATGCTTTAGACACTTGTAGTTTTGGTCTTGTTTCGGTTTTGTACTAAATCAAATTAATTACTATTTTATTTTTAATTTAACATTATAAATTAACTTCGAAACGTTTTATGAGTAAAATAAAAGAGATTGTTTGAAGACAGAAATTTTCAAATATGAACATTTTGGATAAAACATTTTCATGTCATTTTCAACTATGTATCTTTATTTTGATTATATATGGATGTCAATTGATTATATATTATATATTTTATAATTTAGTAATGACAAATCCCAAACTATGTTGACAGTTATTTAACAAACGTCTAATTATAATATATGTTTTGATCATTTACTAAATAAATTTAAAATAAAATATCTATGCAATTATTTAAAATATAGTACATGTTTAAAACTAGATTGCAGAAAGAGTCATCAAATATGTCAAAAGAAATGACCAAAATTATCTTTTAGTAAAGTATAGGTAGAAGATTAACATGAACTGTAGAAATAAAGTTACGTATAAAAACAAGTCGTATGAGCTTGTGCAACCTCATAAATGGCCTACATTTAAGATCATCAGAAACTGTTACAAAAAGACTGTACGAATTAGAGTTCTGATGAATCCTAACTTGTACGAACCTTGGGGAGTGCTTTGACAAAGTCTGTCCAAGTCACGCAAACACCCTTCTCAGTACAAATCCATAAGGCTGGCTATATTTAAGCCAAACGTACGAAGATTATCTTAAACGTTGATAATAATAATAATAATAAAAAAATTAAAAAAATAAAAAGCAGGACAGTTGATGTCGAACAAGCACATTTGTTAGCTTACTTAAAAGACGAATCAGTAGTGAAATGAGTAGTCAACACACTGAAGACAAAAATGTTGTGTCAGATATTACCAGCCACTTGAGGTCTTCTAAAACAGGCAACAGAATGTAATGGATTCACCTTTTGTTTGTCCCTATACATCCCTCTATTAGGTTACACCCTATGTCTGCTGCAACTGTCCCTCCCAGAAATGGGCTAGAAATATGCCTAGACGCAATAACTCATGGACGTACTAGGTTCTGAATCACAGAATTCCGACCTATTTTAGAGCAGAGTCTGGAAAGTTTTGAGGCTGAACAGCCAAGTTGCTACAATCCATCCAGTAATTCTCTCATTAAGTTATTTTTACAGACCCAAAGTCAAATTGAGCTAACCGCGCACAATCCTTCCACCTTCTAGTCCTGCTGAGGTGTGAAAACATGGGCAAAATGTTCGAAAAAGAAGAACAGTCGAGAAGGGGCAACATTTGAAGAATGGCCCACACTTTACCACCTGTAAATGCGCACACTAAGCAGACCAACGGCTAGAAGGCCAGTCACTCCTTGGGAATTTCTTGATCATCGCAAATCATCCAGATTTCATCGAAAGTTTGTGAATAAGTGTAGAAACACAACCCTTCTCAATCACAGGAAGCAAGTAATCATAGTAGTATGTCCAACTTGAAGTAGATTGTTATGGTGAACAACAACGAGATGTGCTCCCAACGAACTTCGAACAGTGTGCATGAGCATCAGCTCAATAACAAATGTCGGATAATGACTTGTACCGCCTCACAAGACCCCTAGGTTGGTCGTCTCCCATGGTAATGTTATTGGAGCGAGACGGTACCTTGAGTGAAGAAAGCCTCTTCAGAGGTGCAGGTGCATTATGTCTTGATGGCAATGATAACTGACTCTTTAAAGCCTTTACATCCAACTGCTTCTGTTTCATCCCTTTGCTTCCTCGAACACTGCAACGAAGACTGCTTGGACTTCGCTTGATGTCACAAGAAGCACTTGTTCGCATCTGTGGAATTGTGTAGTAAAGGATTCGATAACTCATTAAGGCTGTGTATGTCCAAGATTAAGCAACTACAGCGTTGACGAGCTACATAAAGATGCAAGATTATGACTAAATTGCTAACTAATAAGGAGCGGTGAATAAAAACTGCTGGTAAGTCGCATAATGAGACATTCGTAACAGAAAAACGATAAACGATTCAATTTCTTATCAAGCTCATGGCCCCAGGCACGTGAATTTACAAAAACCAAGCAATGTCCCTTTAACTAGCTCCGTAGATTAAGCACTTAGCTCAGGACTAGCAACGATAATTTCGATATTTCCAAAATTCGGTTCAAATAAGCGCTCTTCACTCAAATTCTACAGTTTTAGGGTCTAGAAGACATATTTGCATGACGGTAAATGGAAGTGAATGAAGTACCTGAACAGTTCCGATACTGCCTTCTTCATCTGAAATGCTGGTGTCTATGGTCACACGCTGTTTCCGCAGATTCGAACTTGCATCACCAAGCGGGCAAGATGCTGAACGCAAGCCTGAGCTAACTTTCTCACTCTCTACACTTGATGAACAATTGGAGCCACAATTTGCAGTAGGACTAGGTTCGCTAGCTCCGGTAGGCAAACATGCCAGTGGAGGAAATTCCTCCTTGGTCGACATTACTGCCTTAATTAGAAACTCAAGGCCGTTATCTGGAGATTTCAGTGAACAATGTGAAAACTCTCGGGTGGCTTCCTTCATGTCAAGAGACATAAGCTTCTCATACTTTATTTTACGTTGCTTACCTAATCTACACCAATCACAGACCCAGTTTCCAGTGTCGAGTCCCTCTTTCGATGCGGAACAATATCTGCCAAACAGAATCAAAACATCAAATGAGTCCAAATCTTTTACTTCGACCGAAAATTACAGAGATAACCAAATAAAACTAGTTTATCGGTGCAAACGCTGGAATATATGATAACTGAAACCATTGCGATCCAGAAATGTCTAAATCTGCAATGTTGCTCAATCGCGTTACTCAAAGTTCCTAAGAGAGATCGAATAAAATTAAAGCTAATGCCAAACTTTCACTAACGCAGTGCCTCTGCGACAGCGGTTAGCAAAGAGGTCCAGCTACAAGTAGATTAAATATACTGCGACTATTTCCATTACAAACCAGCACTCCTACACAGCCATGACGAACAAGAGACGAGATGAGAGAACCAGCTACAGAAAAAAGTAACACCATTTAGATGGAAATCTTGAATAGATCATCACCGTATTTGAATAGATAGTAAACAGTAATTAAAAATCACAAATTTCTAACACTTCTTAAACAAAAATCCATGAAAATATTAGTCTAAACTAAAAACCTCATGAAGTGTTAAAAGGACACAGCAATTGTGCACCGCTAGCTAGTTCGACACTCGGTTCAATTAATAACACATTTCTGAACTCGAACCCACCACTGTGCTTCAGAAAAAAGACGCCCTACTATCCGATTCTAAACTTCGGTTCTTTGGTACACAACCAAGAGAAAAGGAAAAATCATGACTTCTAGCAGTTTCTCAGGAAGTTACTACCGCTCTGGTGAGAAAGATATCAAGCTCTGGGCCAAAATGGTTCCGCAGTTTCACTAATACAATTTTATGTTGTATACATGCAGATTATAGCAGATGATTCACGTGACAACTATATAACTATCCCACAGTTGCCACTGAAATCACCTGAACAGAATTTATGGAACGAAAGGTTATGTATCTAGCTGTAATCCATCCTAGTAGAAGCCATCGACGGACACTAAACTGAGCACTGCTGGACACCATTGACACCCAAGAGAGCATGACGCTGACAATTTCAAATGTAAACTGAGAGGATCAAAAAGTTGAATCCACTAGCAGTCTGGACCAACCACAGATCAACGACAATCTTAAAACCAGCGGTAGGAACGCCCATAGGTCTCAACAATCGTACGCTGATATATTCATGGAGGAAGGAAAGTTCACAAGTTACTTGTGAGAATTGTGAGGCCTTGGTGACTACTATCACACGAAAGTTCTCCAGAAGGCAAGAACACGTACATGTGCTGAACGCGTACACAGGCTTTACATTGCTGGAGTTGATCAGAAAATCCCACATCACCGCACATGCTGCATTCGACCGTCGAGGCACCAACGCAATCCATGCCTGCTCGATTGATTGTACAAAGATACAGTTCACCTGAACATCGTCGCTTCAACTTCCATACTCCTGCTGGTCCGTAGCGGTGCTCGAGTCACAACAAACTCCAGTGGCAACTAATGCATCTTATTTAACGAATCCAACTTCTGTTCATCGAAGCAGCGTGTGTGCGTACTTGGCAGGTGATAAAATGTTAAGACAGGCAGCAGTCGCACAGCTGTTATTCGATATGCTGAAGTCTAGCCGTGAGTGGACGCCGAAGTTTATGAGCAAGGTCAATGGACTCAGATGGGGCTGATCGCTATTTCAAGCAGCAATTCAACCGGACAGCCAGGATTACAACCAATGCTTGAAGAAAAAACTGCGAGAAATCAGGAGTAGAGAAACCCTGAGCGAACTGCACGATCGTTTGGACACACTCTACCAATGGCGATGGGCACATGAGCAGCAAGACGCAACAACGCACAATATCATGCGAGATGCGATACAGATGACTAGTGATTGTAGAGGGACAGGACTGCAAAGTATGTCGGCTAACACGAAGTAACTACTCTGACAACCAACCGCGACTTAGAAATGGCGGAGAAAATCGTCACCAAATTGTACTTCGTCCGATAAAGAGACAAAAAGGCACAGCCTCAGCCTTAATTTATTGGAAATGAAGGAGGAACAGGCAGCTACTATGCTAGGAGTAGTGCGCACCATGAGAGGGAACAAGAACTCTAACAGTCTTGACAATGGTAGAGGCAGGCATGAACCCTACGTGATTGAAACGAAAGCTTCAATTACTTCGAGGTATCACTCTTCGTCACTTGCAGAGGTTCCAGTCTTATTAGACAAATATGCCCGTTGGAGCTGCTGGCGTGGGACTCCAGAGAACTAGACACTTGGAGCGCTAAACACTAATATTCCCGATGATCGTTTCAGTGGATCTGGGCCCCCTTTTTTTTTTCTTTTTTTTTTTTTTTTTTTGAAGAACGTCACTACACCATTTCTCTCTTCGGATTACAGGAACGTGCTAGTCAAGAGTGCGCTCCACAACCTGAAGGTCTAGACTGTGTGACACAGGAGATCAACCCTCGTAGGAACGTGTACCGAGTATTCAGGTCCAACGGTTTATTACTCAAGTCCGCAGACCTTTCTGATCACACCATAAAACTCCTACAAACGAGTGACAAACTGCCCGCGCCTGCCAATTCAAGACCTCAACAGTCAGCATTCACAACTTAATCAAGAAGTCATGAAGCAACGTTGTGTTTGCCTAGACCTTGAACTTCGTAGCAGCTCTTGGTATTTGCATGTAGTAAATAGACACCAAGAAAGGTGCAAAGTTCTGGACAACTTGGGTATTGAAACTCATCTACACCGACTCGTTGCCTCCTGTGAGAGGGTGAATGGGCTCTCCAAATCCTTCTAGATGAAAGAGATCACTATGACAACGCAGGAGTCTCAGAAGTCATACACTCCGCAGCCGTTCTCCACAATTGTCAATCAGCAGTAACACTATTACCGCGAAAGGGATAATTCAATAGGACTCATCTCTCCATCTCAAGCACACCCAACTAGATCAACCTAGGAAGAGAAGTGCTACTGCTAGATCGGCCAGTTTCGATTCCCACTAGCCAAGCTGCAAAACTCAATTCTCATGCGATCATCAAACGCTGCGATAAGTTTGCTACGCAGCTTAGATAACAAGAGTGCTGTGAGACACGAAGATAAAAGGCGGAACTGCTCCAAAAACAACCTGAAATCAGTAACTAGAACTGATAAAGTTTTGCGAGGAAGTCAAGTACCTACACTGACTTCGCTATGTCGGATGTGTGGTGGGCAGCAAGTCGAGAAAGACATACACAACTCTAACGATAGCACTTATAACATCAGCAGGATTACACTGAGAAAACCAAACCCGCTGGAAACCACTCTCAGCCAGAAAGATGCGCTTCGTAAAATAAACTAACTAAACAACTTGTTCACACCTCCAAAATCAGGAACAAGCTCCAACACTCGGCACTAAAACCTCCGCACGCCTACAGAAACTTCCACTCGAGCGTCAATGCAGACACAATACCACGCTACCAAAGTGCGCGCTCCGGAACACTCACACATCCAGAACACTCGGAATATCCTGACTCACCCTCAGAAAAACCGCCATACTCCCTCACTCACCTCGCACAGTCACCAAAGTGCGTGCCAATCACCGTGCACTAACTACTAGGCTACCACTCCCATTACTGCCAAACCTTCCGAAGCCTCACAACGAACTTCGCTCAGCAACAACTACAAAACCAAAATTCACGTCACATAACCCTCAAGAAACGCACTCCGCCCGGAAATACGCCATACCAAATACAATCAGACACGCAGGGCGCGTAGCGACGACGAAGTCACTTCATGCCGAGGTGAACGATACGAGGAGGGCATGAAAGGGATGCTAAGTGGCGGGGGCAGCCAAGGGGGAACAGAAGAAGAAGAAGAAGAAGCAAGGGAAAGTAGGAAGGTGCGAGATCCTGACGTCTCACGCTCAGAAAAACCGCCACACCCCCTCACACTCACCTCGCACACTCACCAAAAAGTACGCGCCCATCACTGTGCACATTATTAACCACTGGACCAACACTCTCTCACTGCTGCCAAACCTCTCAAAGCCTCCCAAACCAACTCCGCTCAGCCACCACTGCAAAACCAAAATTCGCGTCACAGAAGCCTCAAGAGACGCAGCGAAAGGCGCCCTCCGCCCGGAAATACGCCATACCGAATACCAACAGACACGCAGAGCGCGAAGCGACGACGAAGTCACTCCATGCCGAAGTGGACGATACAAGGGAGGAGGGCATGAAACGAGGTGGGGGGGGGGGTAGCCAAAGGGGAAACAGAAGAAGCAAAAGGAAAAAGTAGGAAGGTGCGAGAAGAGCGCGCGAGAGAGAGAGAGAGGGAGAAAGAGAAAGAAAGGGACCAGGGGGCTGGGCTGGGGACGGGGTTGGGTTGGGTTGGATGGGGGAGGACTTGACCCTACTAGTTAACTGGGAGGGAGTAACCGCAGTATGGGGGCGGGGGGTAAGGGCGGCTCTGGCAGGGCTACCGTTGACTGTATGTACCGCATCCAGGCATGGCATCCATGTCAGTGCCAAGGGGAAAGACATCATCATCCAGCATGACACCATTCCATCATCCCCCTTCCCTCCCTCCCTCTCCACCGCCCTTGCCTTCTCTCTCTCTCTCTCTCTCTCTCTGCTCCTTCGCTCATCCATTCGCTCATCTATTCGTTCATCTTCTTATCATTCATCTAACTAGTTTTCGACACCAACTTGGACAACGTCTCCCCCTCTTCTCCTCTCTCTTAATTCATGTCTTTCTTTCTTCCATCTTTTGTGAACTTTTTCCCCTTTTACATTTTCACTTTCTTTTATTGTTTAGGGGTTTGTGTTTAGGGTGTGTGCCATTGGGGAGGGGGGGGGGAGCATCTTTTCCCCACCCTCCTCCTCCTCCCAGTTGCAAGATCTAGTGCCCACATGAGTTAAGGAGTGTTGACATAATTGGAGGTTTCCATGCTGGATGATACCTTTGTGCATTGGAGAAAGAGAAAAAGTTGACAAAAAAGAATATTGTGGGTGACCAATGTTTTGTTTCTTTATTCTAATACATTTGTTGTGTCTGATATGTGTTGGTGAGTTTGGGATGGGTGGACGCTGAAGAAATTGTGAGGGGAGAGGGGGTGTGTGTTGCCTTCACTGTTTGAGGAAGGGATCATAAGGGAGAGGACTATTTGGTTCACAAACTAATCTCTTCCTGTTCTATTTCTGTTTTGTGGTGACTTGCCTTTCCCTGATAGATGGCAGCCTGGACTGTATGTATGTGTGTGTATATATATATATATATATATATGTAGGCAACTGATTCATTCTTTTGTGGCACACATGATTGAAATATCCACTGAACCCTTGAAGTATGAATTAGTTCTTGGTCTTGTCAAGTTTCATGGTTGTTTATCAACCTTTTTCTCTCATATTATTTTCCCCCTCTATTCCTTTAAGAAAAGAAGTAAATGTTGTGAATATGAACCACCTTTTATTATTCTTTTTATTTTATGAAACTTTGTTTACAGACAAGAAAAGGACTAAGTTATGGTTGAAAAGACTGATTCTTTTCCACTTTATTCCTCTCATTCCAATGATGTATATGATAAACTATGTGTGCAACAAATCTGGGTGACCAATATTTAAACGTCTTTTTTACTGTTGTGTTGTTAAAAACAATATTTGGGCAATTCTTTTTCTTGGTTTTTTTCTTGATTTTTTTTTTTTTTTTTTTTTTTTTTTTTTTAAGTGGACTTACTGCTATGAGTTGAGCTTCACAGATGAATTACTTGTTTAGTTGGATATGTTGAGTGCCTCAGGAGAAGAGAAGATGGAATAGGAGGTTGAAATTCTCAAAAGGTTGGGTGGTTATGCCATTTGGCTATGTCTCTCTGGGAACTGCCATTAATCCAGGACACATCAAATCCAAACACACATTCTGTAGCTTGAGCAGGTTCACAAATGGGTTAATAAATTTATGAATAAATGTTCTCTCTGCAGTATTTTTAGAATCCCTAAATCATCCAATGCACATTTACACTCACTTTTCCAAATTATAAAATGATGCTTACTCAGAGTTGATACTTAACTTGTTTACTCTCTATGGTGAAAAAGGGAATAGCACCAGGAAAAACTTCCCATAATTAAATTCTCCTACATTCTGATTATCACCAATTTGGAATCATGAGAGATTCAAATTTGTGCCTACAGCTTGGTAATCTCCAGAAATCCAAGAAAAACTGGTCAGGGTTTGTCAATAATCCCCAAATCAAAGCTGCAAGCTGATATGGAAACTCTACTGGATTTTTATATTTTATATTTTAAAAATTTTGAAATTTTGAACTGTTACAATCATTGCAATCACTATGAGGCATGATTTTCATTTACATGAACAATTGGGGAAACATGACCAGTATGGGAAATTCCTAGGTATGCATGTCTCTAAGCATACACCATAATGCTAAGCAGTAGTTGATTTCAAAACTTTCTTTGCTCAAAAACACTCTACATGCAAGCATACATAGACTTACACACACACACACATACACACAAATTTAGTGACCAGACTCATGAGCTGTGAGTGGGTGGAATAAGGGGGCAATAAGATGTATCCATCTGTGCATCTATGTGTCAATCTGTGAGAGCATGTCTGGAAATAGTGTAAAGTAGGCAATGCCCCAATTGGCCAAGGGCCCAATCCACAACAAACTAGGGACACGGGTAAAGGAGTCTCTAGAGGTGTGGTAGCCTTGTCTGCTCCTGATTTAATAATCGTGAGCTTGCCCATGAGTGACATGTTTTTGTGGGTGTAGGTGCAAGCCAAGTAAAGCATGAGTGTTAGGGTTTTTGGTATAGATGGGCCCCGCTTGCAACTTGCGCTGCAGTTGTGTCTTCTTTCCCAGGCTCTTGTGCCACCCAGTTGGTGTGTGTATGTGTGTGTGGGAGAGAGTTTGAGTGTGTGTTGGGTTTATTGGTACCCTCACCCACTTGCCAAATGTAGATGAAACGTGTCTCATAGTGTGTGTGTGTTTCAGAAGTGGCAGTAGTAGATTGTGAGTGACAATGGGGATGTGAAGGGTGGGGGGGGGGGGATTGACAGGATTTGGCCAACAATGTGAAATTGTCAAGACAAGATGTTGCTTTCTCAACCATGGTTGCATCCTTCTCACAGTTCAAATGGGAGATTGTGCATAATAAGACGATTGTTCACAAAGATGGAAGAAAACTAGTTAACCCATGCTCTAAAATTAAGAATCTGATAGAAAATAAATCGGAAAATGAAATGAATAATGGATAATAAATACATGCCCTCTTCACAGGTGACATTCCTAATTTTCAGTGTATAATAAAAGGTGGCAGCTTCTCAGATTTTTTTTGGAAACAATGTTAAACAAGTGTGTCCACTTCAAGAGGATTTAGGACTAAAACTACCTTATCCATATATAAATGTCTACATATTCTTATTTTTTGGGGTGTGTTGAGCTAGCAGTGTAATGATGAGAATGTTTTCACAAACCATTTATGTTTATCTGATGTCTCTATGGGAGGTATATAAAGTTTTTTCCATGTATTAATTGACAGCATCAGTGATTAGAGTTTATATTTGTTTATTTATTTATTCATTTATTGAAATAGACAACACTTACAATCCTCACTATTATCTTACTTAAGTAAACTCATAATTTGATGGGTAATTTCCGATCCAGATCTTCCATAGCTAACTATTGTGTAATTACTTTTTGAAATTTAAAGGTCCAGAATATTAGAGATAAATTTGAAATAACATTATCAATATGTAAAACAAATCATTGTAAATTTTATTCTTTTAAGCAATCAACCAAAAATGCAATTGAATAGAAATACCTCTCTCTCTCTCTCTCTCTCTCTATATATATATATATATATATATATATATATAATCTTAAGTGTATATTAGCTATTTTTTAAAATTTACATTCTATCTTTTTCTGCAAGAACACTTTTTTGATTTAACTTAGAATGAAAACACAAATTTTTATTAAATTAATTCATGAAAATTAAATAAATAAGTGTAAGTTACTTATAAGGTAAATTTTAAGACGGCTTTTAAAAAATGACTAATCTTTAACATAAAAAATAATAAAAATAATAATTAATATAATTAATCATGTTGAATTTTTTAAGGATATTTCAAATTGTAGTAATTTATATTATTTAATAATTTTTTGTTAATGTATTGCCTAAGTGAGAAAACTGTGCATTTTATTTTTTTATTGACCAAAATTAGCACAAGTTTATTTTGATAGCAAGAAGTGCACAATAGAATACTTGAAGATGGATGCTAAAGTGACATAGCACCACTATTGCCAATAAATGTTTAAATTCTCCAGAATGTTCGTGAGGACATAGTTGGGAAGGAAATTCAAGAGGTTGTTGTGCAACAAGCAATATCCATGAAAACCAATATGCATTAATTGTTCAAGAATTCGCCTTATTTTAAATTTTTTTTATCTTTTTTATATTTTTCTTTTTATTTCCTCATTTCTTATCTTCTAGGTTTGGATGAAGCTAGATGGGATGTGCGTTATGCAGATTTGTAATAGATGAAACACGTCAATTTACAGATGTGAATGGATTATTCATCCATCCAAATCCCTTTCACACTTTGTTAGGATTTCTGCCTCCAAGTTGCTTTATTTTACACACACGGTCTGTGGAATGTTTAACTGTTACACAAGACAAGTCAATCATCCCAAAGTAAGAATTACTTTGATTTTTAAAAAAAAGTTAAAGTGCTGGTGCAAATTTTGATACATGTAGATTGCTAGAATGGTTGTTTTATTGGTTTAATCTGCTTTGATAATATTAATCCAATGTAACTAATCCTGTATTGCTTGTCATGATCCACATAGCATGATAAAGTGGGTCTTTTGGATTCATGAAAAAAGAATATTGAAACCTGCATTCCGATTTTCAGTTATATTCGTTTATTATTTAGTTTTCAAATCCTGATGCTTTCTTTTATCCTCAATATATTCTGCATATGTTCAGAATTTTTAATAATTTATTTACTCTAAAAACTTGCAGTTAAGTATTAATGCTGTCACATTTCAAGATATTTAGTCGTATTAGTTTCACATCCGGAGATAATTCTGTGTTAGATTATTTTATTTTTCACTTGAAAGTAAAATAATATTATTCAAGCATATAAACACACGCACCAAAAATATGTTGAATTGTGCATTAATCAGTTTACTATGAACTGTACTTACATACTTTAATTTATTTTTTATTCAGCACTAAAGTTTTGAAAACATGTAATCAATTCGTTTATTTGAAATAATTTTAACCGATTGATTTTAAGCTGCATC